CTTTATAAAATCATCTCCATAATCCTCACTTACAGTATTGTATAAAATTTCATATTATCAATCTAGTAGCAGTGTTTTTCAACCTTTTTTGTGCAAAGGCACACTTTTTTCATGAAAAAAATCATGAGGCACACCACCATTAGAAAATGTTAAAAAAATTTAACTCTGTGCCTATATTGACTATATATAATTTTCCCACGGCACACCTTACACTATGTCACGGCACACTAGTGTGCCGCGGCACAGTGGTTGAAAAACACTGCTTTAGAGAGTAGACAAAGATCTTCCTCTTCCATAAAGCTTGGGGGAAGTGAATTTAATGGAAGATACCAGTAGATATTTAAAACAATTTCAATTTTTAATATGTTGGATCTTATAAATGTTTACAATTTGCTGTTGTAAGCTACCTATTCAAATAGGTAGCATATAAATGTAATACATATACCGGTAATAAAATGTTATTTAAAAAATTGAAAAAGCTAAACTTATGAGTCAAATTTTGACACAAAGGCTAAGGATTTCATGCCAGAAAATGGAGATTAAAAATAGTATCTCTGACAATAAGACATCATAATCAGCACCTGGTAATGGAGGAGGAACATGACAAACAATAATGTGTCTCTACAGCTGCAACCAATTGTTTTTCACTTTTTGTTTTCCTTTCAGTGGGCTAAAAAGAAACAAAGGAAGTTGGATATGAGACAGCATAAAATGAAGGCTTTTCTCCATAGCAAAATATAAATTGCAGTACATTAGAAATAAGATTTAATAAGTAGCATTCAAAAATCCAAAAACTTGCTCATAGTTACTCATCTAACAAAACTAATGTATAACTTGTGATTCACAGTAGATTTACAATATATTTGCAAAAGCAATGAATTTTATTTATTTCAAATACCAAATCTAAAATTTGTGCCAAAGTAAAATGGGTAAAAGGGATCCAACAACCAGTTTTTATATTATCTTTCACAGGGTCAATATACTTTTACAAACTTTATCAACACAGTACAAGTCTGTATTGAAAAGATCATATTCCAATCATCATCAGATAGAAAGCCAAAGCATACATACCAGTTTAAGGATTCAAGTCTTTTTTTTACCCATGGTAATTCCCAGTACTTTCAAATAAGATGGGGTAATAAAAACATTTGAGCTGAACAAAACAACTGTATGTTTGTTACAGCAATATATTTGCATTGAAGTGGTGCATTTGAGTGAAAAGTAAGAGGGAGAGGGAGAAATCAATGAAAAATCCTCATTATAAACCACTACTTAACTGACCCAAGTATATTAATTCTCATAATTCTAAAATAATAAAGCAAGTATACCAGCTGAGCTAAAATGTTCTAATCTAGGCTATTTTCTGATTCATCGTGTTATATCACTGGTTTTAATTCGGTAAGGAACGGCCCAAGTAACCACAGTTAGCATGTTTCAGTATAACTAATATTTGCTGGTGTAACTCTAGTTAAGAGGAAAAAAGGATGCAAGCCAGCAGTTTCCCCAATTTTTACCTAGCAAGCGTCAGATTTCCAGTCTGGGCGAGGCCACACCCTCTATCCCGAAATTCTCACCCCAAAGCTGTTCTTGGTGGTCTCTCCTGAGATAAAAGCACTCTGTACATGGGCAGAACGCTCTCATCTCTTCCTGACTTCGGAATCCTAAGCTCTGGCGTACGGCTCTGGGTCTCTTAGGTACCTGATGGAGCATCTCCGCGGGGAGCTGTGACGCCCTGAACAACTCTGCCACTTTACTGCCCCCGAGAGCGGGGGGGTGCAATCTCGATCCCGCCTCGGGAGTAGGCTGGCCGCCTCCGCCGCAAAGCGAAAAGAGCTCAGAGAAATACTGCTGCTCGTTCCTTGCCAAAAAGAATCCCGGGGTTCCTGTGGCCGCTGGTCCTGTGAAAGCTGTTCCCTCCGGCTCCATTGCTGGGAAAGGGCATCAATCGCTGTTCTCAGGCGAGGACAAAACTCCTTCAGAGGAGGAAGAAAGATCCTCCGTCGCTGCGGCGCGGAAGGTGCAGCCCCTCTGGCGGCAGCGGCGGCTGTTCTCCAGCTGAGCTGTCGCCGCTCGCCTTTTCCCGGTGCGGAAGAGCTCTATCTCTGCAGTGCTGCCCCTCGGGCGGTTGAGAGCGAAGGCAGTTTTCCCGCCAGAAGGGAAGGAAGGAAGAAAGGAAAAAAGCCTCTCGGGACTCGCGAGTGAGCAGCGTCTTCCGGCTCTGCGACCGCACCTCACACCGGCTGGAGTAGCGTGGGCAGTTGGCCGCTTTCCCCTGGGGGGGAGGGGGGAGCCGAGGGACTGTGGAGCTGCCGAGGCTGCGTGAACCTTACAGGGCGAAGTATCTTCAAGTCTTTGAAAACAGACCTCTGCTGCAAGGTTGATGTTTCGTACTCGCTGCGTCAGAGCGTTGTCAGAAGAATAATTTGGGGTTCCAACTCGAGCCAGGGTTGCGCAAGAATAAATAAAAATGAGATTCGGACAGCTGTGAGGAAAGAAGAAATATTTATTCTTAAAAGCAAATAGGAATAAAGCTTCAGAGAAATGGAGTGCAGCCACAGACCTTTTATAGGGCACCTTCTCCTGGTGTGGAAGTGTCTATGTGCTGATTCTAGGGTGACACTTGAATGATGTGTGTGCGTGCTTGTAGGTATGTCTCTGATGTTTATTCTGACTATGCAATTCCGCTGGGAGACCTAATTTAATTAACTATTTGTGTTTGCAGACAGCTTCCTTTGATATGTGGATTAGGTCTGGGTAATTTATTGGGGTTAAGGAAGTTTTGAGTAAAATATTTTCCGTTTTATTTGATTAGTTTCAGCTTGACTATCAATTATATAGTGGAGATGTTGATTCTCAGACCATTGTGGAGTCTGTTAACCTTTTAAGTGAAAATGGAAATACTGTGTTTTCCCGAAAATAAGACCTGCCCTGCTAATAAGCCCAATCGGGCTTTTCAGAGCATGCACCATAATAATCCCTCCCCCCAAAATAAGTCCGCCCCAACTATTTAAGCGCATGTGCAACCGGTCCCCGCCATTACCATTGTACCACCTACTGATACAGCTTGCAGGGAAAAAAGAGCCCGCCGCAAAAATAGCAGTGGGCCAGCAATGCAATCACCCCCTCCCGCCTGTTCCTTCTCGCGTAAAAAAACAACGCCCACCCCAATGGTAAAGGCAGCCTGCCTAGTTCCCTTCCCCGCCATCCCTTTAGCAAGGGGTGGCAGGTGGGGGGGAGAAGTGAGGCGCCCCTCTTACCTTTCCAGCTCTGTCACGTTCTTCGCCCTTTCTCCCATTGAATCCCCTTGTAAAAAAACCCTCGCGAGTTGAACTCATGAGGTTTTTTTTTACAAGAGGATTCAATGGGCAAAAGGGCGAGGAATGAAATGGACCTGAAAAGGTAAGAGGCGCGCCTCATTTCTCCCCCCCCCCTGCTAAAGGGACGGCGGGGAAGGAAACCAGGCAGGCTGCCTTTACCATTGGAGCGAGGTGGGCGGTTTGGGCCACGAGGCCTGCCTCTTACTTTTCCAGCTCCATTGTGTTCCTCGCCATTGTGTTCAGGGAAGCCCCTGGTAAAAAACCCTTCTCGCGATTTCAAGAAGTTTGAACTTGCGAGAAGGGTTTTTTTACCAGCCAATTCACTGAGCACAATGACGAGGAACGCAACGGAGATGGAAAGGTAAAAGGTGCGTCTCGCTTCTTACCTGCCCCAGAAAATAATAAGCTCTCCCCTATAATAAGCCCAAAGCCATATTTCGTGGGGCAAAAATAAAATAAGACCCTGTCTTATTTTCGGGGAAACACGGTAGTAAAATATATATACTTTGATATAAAACTTCTCACGGCATATATAGCACGCTTCTGTAGCCATCCTGGATTAAGCTATTTGGGAATTTTGCCAACACATTTTCTGCCCTGAAAGCACCCTCTATGTCAAAAGTGGGGATTGCCTGCGGCTGATTTTCAACCATGGAATTATTTTCTACTGAAAATTTCCAAAGCTAAAATAGTGCAATTTACTAAGGTAAGCCCCTCCTGTTATTGTAGATGCACCTTAAATTAAACTTTACTTTAATATTGCCAGTATTTTTTATTCTTGAATATGACATATTTTAAGTCATTTCAGGAGAAAAATTGTAGTAGAATTACAATTTGGTAAGTGTGTGAGGGAGTACAATTAGGTTTAGGTGAAATGCTAATAAAAATACAGAAATTATACATGCATGAGGATGGATTATATTGTGGGTGAGTGTGCATATTTGTGTGCATTTTTGGAAGAATGTTATGTTGTCATCTTGGTTCCAGAGAAAATATAGTTCTTGTCTATAAAATCTGAAATGTTTTGTCTGAAATGTTACAGGGATTCCTGCTTGAGCAAGGGATTGAACCAGATCTCCCAAATCCCTTCCACCTCGGTTATTCTGTTCATCCTGAGCCATATTCCATATGTGCAGATCAACCTGTATTCACTTTTTTTGCTCCAAAAGGTGCATTGGGGCTTATTTGTGGGGAAGCACATTATCAGGGTGATACAGTTGGGTGCCCCATCCTGCAGCATGCTCAGAAAAAGTGGCAAGGACGCGAGGGCCAACAGTGTCTGACAGCAGCTCAACCTGTTGGCCCTTTGGCCAGTGCTCTCAGGCTGCACATCTCGTGCGACACAGGTGAGTCTGAGTGCCGCTGGATGCAAAGTAAAGAAAGATGGTGGGATGGAGTGGGCAGCTGGCCAAGGAAAGCTTGTCCTGTGTGCAGCGGAGCTGTAAGACGAGGTTGGATAGTGGAGCCTGAGTGCACACGGCTCACCGTATGACGCCACACCTGCCCCGCCACCTGCATTCCGTCGAGGCGGCACCAGCAACAGACAGAGGCACAGGGCCGCCCAGTCCATGTCCAGCAGTTGCTGCAAACACATTTTAGGCAGCTGTGAACTCAATTGGCTCTCGGTCCCTCCCAAGCCTCTGACAGGCACGAAGCTTCAGCCAGAGCAGCCTGGAGCAATTTAATCCTTTTAAATTACAAATAGAAAACTTGGTTACTAATACCACTACTTCTCCTTTTTCTCTTCTTTCTTGGCCTCACATTTTTCCTTCTCCTTTTCCTTGTCATCTTCTTACTCTCCTCTTTCTTGACATCTTTGTTGGCAATCTTGTTGTTGATGTTGTGCAGCGCTACCATTGATCAGGCAAGGCTGCAGGGGAGGCGCTATAGCATGGGCCCTGTGTGCTCAGTCCTTGCCATCCAACATCGTCCTCCAGCTCTGCTGCGCACACAGGATAAGCCCCCCTCAGCCAGCTGCCCACTCCATCCCACCGTCTGTCTTGGCTTTGTATCCAGCAGGTCAGATTACATGCCTCCCCCTGCACCACTGCCTCTGCTTGCTGCTTTGAGGGCTGGTCTGGGGATCACAGCGCTCGGACTTACCTGTGCTGCACGGGCTGCGCAGCTCCAGAGCTTGCCAGCCAAGGGGCCAGTAGGCTGAGGTTGGTGCCGGACATTGTGCCTTCCCCTTGTGTTCTCGCCGCCTTCTGTGCCGGCTGTGCCTACCTACCCTACCTGCTCCTCTCCCCCCCCCCCAGGGCTGAGGATCTTAGTGGGATTATTTTTGGGGTAGCGCTTATATTAGCATTTAAAAAAATCATGCTAGGGCTTTTTTTGGGTTGGGTCTTATTTTCGGGGAAACAGTAGTTTTTTATTTTATTTTACATAACTTGCAGTAGAAGTAAGGATCTAATGCTTGATTTTAGAACTCATCCAGTTGGCTTAATTATAAAGTGAACTCTTACCAGTCTTTGAGGTGATAGAAAACGATGGCAGCATAAAATGTGCTGACTTAATTACTTAGCTTTATTCTCACACAGTAATAGAGCCAATTATTGATGCTGTCCTTACTGATGACATGTGAGTTAAGGAAAGTGATTTGTGGTAGTCCCCACCTTTGTTTTCCTTACTATCACACTTTCTAGCAAGAAAACAAATCACCTTTCATGCTCCCTACTTCGGTAGGGCATGTTTGGGTTTTCTAAGTGGATGGTCAGAAGTGAATGTTCAGTTGCTCAACTACCAAGTTTATTTATATAATACTAATTTATGCAGCCATTTGACACAAATACATGACTGGGTGACTTACAGGAATTTTTAAAAAAATACAAGATAAAAACACATCAAGCCACATCAAAAACTATGTAACATAATTTACAGCCAAGGTAGAGTTAGTCCTCGACTTACAACAGTTGTTTTAGTGACCGTTCAGTTAGAACGGTACTGAAAAAAGTGACTTATGACTAGGTTTCATAATTACACAATGCTTGGCAATTGGTTCATACTTGACTTGCTGTGTCCCAGGGTCATGTGATCCCTTTTGCGATCTCCCAACAAGAAAAGTCAATGGGGAAGCAGGAATTAACCAGGTTACTACCTTATCAAGTGCATTGATTCACTTAACAACTGTTTGTAAATGGGGGAAATTCACTTAACAAATATTTCACTTAACAACATAAATTTTGGGCTCAATTGTGTTCATAAGATGAGAACTACCTGTATAAAAAAAGCATACAGGCTGCATAACATACACCAGTGACGTGCAGGCAGGGGAGGCAGGGCCTCACCACTGTCATCATGAAAANTTTTAACATTTTCTAATGGTGGTGTGCCTCGTGATTTTTTTCATGAAAAAAGTGTGCCTTTGCACAAAAAAGGTTGAAAAACACTGATCTACAGGAGACATTGTTCCACTGAGGCATTCAACTCTAAGAGTTTTAATTTCTATTCTAACTTTGATACCAAACCAAAGACACAAAACTGAATGCCATCATTACAATTAAGGTACTTTAGCTCAAACAATGATACGATCACACATCTGTGGACAAATTCAATATTGAGAAAAACTAACCAATCTTAATTTATAATAAAGACACAGAGTCTAATATATTAAGCACACATATTTACTTAATCTACACAGAACGGAGTAGATAAAATTTCAGTTTCACATTAGTGAAAAATTTCTACAAAATGTTCCTGAAAAGCAAAAACCAAGAGTGCCTATTTAGTCAGCATTTTTCATGGGTATGGGTTGTAATAATAAAGCAGCGTTCAGCACAAGCTAAAGTTCTGCATCACTTTTCACAGTTATTTCCATCTATGGTCTGAAGAGGTAGATTTTCTGTAACACCTGAGAATTGAACTGCAACAAAACCAGGTGTAAGAAAAGAATGGAATAGAAAGATACAGCCCTAAAATGTGCATGTATATACTTACATTCCAAATAATTCTAGGGCTTAGCTATTTACTAAGTATCTGAAGCCCAAGTTACACAACAGTAAAAATTGTGCACCCCCTATACTGAACACACTGGATGCAAATCAACTGCAGGTATAAAGTAGTGGACGGTATAAGCAATAACTTTCAGTGTTTATAAGCACATGATTATCAATTTACACACAGCTAGCTGCCTATAAGCATGAGCTGTACAACTAAAGAATATTGAACAAATCAGCAGAAAAATGGCAGTGCAGTATACCACTATATGGCAAGAGACAAGTAATGACCTGTCCTGTACTAGCCCTCTTGTTCAATGCATGGAACGTCTTGAGACTTTAAACAAAACCCTCATTTAAACTGAAGAAAAAGTTGGGAGAAAAAAATGCATGAGCAAGTTTTTTGAAAAGCCATTATTTCAATAGCTTAAATTTATGCATCTATAATTGCAACTGGTTAAAAAAAAAACTTACTCATGCCTATAATTAGGTCAATTGTAGACATAGGTAAAACTAATCAAAATATAGTACCTATGATGGAATATCTTTGCAGTTTTTACTTTCAACATGCATTTGTTCCACTATCCAATTTCTCAGGTGTTTTGCATTGTTCTACAAGTTCAAAGTGTTTGCATTTCTAGCTGTAGATTTGTTTGATGAAAGGTTCTCTAGTGTCTCTTATGCTTATGGCAGCATAATTGGGCTTTGTATTTTCCACTATACGTCAACTCCTTACCTTACAGAACTTGGAATTCATACAAAAGAAAATGCAAACACATTTTAAGAAACAAAACACAAGCAGCCAGTTTTCAATTCAGGACTTTTCAAGTCCACTAGTAATGCAAATTGATTTTGCTCAAAGATACAAATATCCAAAGGTTTTCTTCAATCTTCGTTTCAATTAGGATACTGTATAGGTAAAAAAAGGGTAATACATCCGTAAAGCCTTAAATTTAAATAATTTGCAACTAAACTGTAAGAGTATACAGGCAGATAAAAAGAGAATTTTTCAATAATGTGCTTAAATAAGAAAAGCTTCAAGAAAGTGAATCCAAACTAGGTACCAGAATTTGGTATTGTTTACATTTCTCCAAACAGAACAACTAGAAAGCTGATATATGTAGGCAGAGTTAACAGCAGCTTGTAACCTAGCAGCACTCTTTTGGTCCCTTTTTTCTTTAAAAAAAATCAGATTATGGGAAATACCTAAACTTTTGCAACTGACCTACATTCATAATTCTAACCACAGTACAAAAAATGTGGAGTCTTGTATGCTGTGCATTTATTAGCAACATAAATACCGAAGTGCCAAATTCCAAGTAACTTAGATAATCAGAAGGCACTTCTGTTTATGTTTATGTTTTGTCTAGTAAGACTTCATTTTACAAAGTTGAGATCAGAATGTTTTCCTGTATTTTGGATTAGATAAATTATATAATTTATGCACTTTATCATGGACAGAGCAGTTTTTATAAGAATGCGTATCCTGTGAAATATACACTTTAGGATTTCCCGTACTGAGTGTGGTTCATTGCAATCATTCTTAAGTGATGATGCATTTATATATGTTCCGTATTTCACATTAATAAGTAGCCATCAAACTGAATGAAAGAATTCCCAGAAAACCCTGCCCCCATTGATTATATATTTTAATCTAGCAACCACTAACCAAAATCTTGTTGCATTCAATAAACTGTAACTATGACAGCAGTTTTTATATTATAGCTCATTTTTAAAAAATCATTGCAACAACAGTAGTGCATTCAAAATACATCCAGATTTAAGTTAGTGGCTATTTAGAGAAATTATCAAGTTTGCTTGCTGCCTTAATTTCTTAATATAACAGAAAGGGAAATAGTTATTTAATTTATACTGACTATCAGACAATCCTGAGAAATATGAATTGTACACCCTGTTTTTCCAGTTGGCAGCTACACTAAACCCTGTAAGATTTTTCAGCTTTTTCGTATCAGTATGGACAAGTCACACACCAAATTGTATTTTACTGGATTGCTTGGTAATGTCACCTCAGCTTTAAATTTTAATTTACTACATAGATTTAAGCTCAAACACTGATAAAAGTTGTTCCCTTAACATGATGACAAAACTGCATGTGAGTCTTAGATGATACAGTAATGTATTACTGGATAAGAAGAAAAACACTGCATGCGTCTTTAATGGGGTTCTTTTGTTTAAAAAAATGCAAATGTGCAATACAGTTGTGGATTCTTTTTATAGATTAGCTATTCAATAGCTGCTATGCAGCTTCCTGTACCAGGCAAATTGTGTTCTGTTCTAAGAAAATACAGATATGGTAGAAAAAGTAAGAAAATTTTCACCACAAAACTAATAGTTACCACCACCAGCTAAAGTTATACACAAAATATATCTCTTAATACAGTGTTTACATTTTAGTCAACAAAATCTGTGGTAGGAAGGGAAACCAAACTGATAGTTTTTTCATAGCCTTCATTTGCCATTGTTTCGATATCTGGTTGGATTTCTTCTTGTTCTTTATTAATAGAAATCTCCAGCTTCTCATGAGAGTTGAGCGTGCATGATTGCAATACAGGTACAGCTAGATCCACATTTGCTTCTCTTGAAGAAACCTGTTCTTTAAGAATTTCCACTTTCTCGTTTAACTCATTTCTTTCTGTTTGAAGAGCTCTACATAGCTTTTCCAAACGCTCCAGTTTTATTTGGAAACCTTTGTATTCTTTGTCTTTAACTGTCTTCTGTAATAAATAAGATAGCATAAAGGATTCAGATGAATCTTACACAATGTATTTCAAAACTTAAAACAGTAATGAGAAAATTCAAAACCTTTTTATGGCCACGCTTTTTTACTGGCCACTTATAGCTTCAGAATCTGTAATGTAAGGGGACTACAATTCCAATTCCCTTTTCTTGGTGTATTCAAGTTCTATTTTCCCATGTAAAAGTCTCCTTCTCTAATCTGAAGTGCCTATTGCAACCCCCACTCACTAGATGGTTTAAATAAAAGCAATGTACAACTTATTTCGTACAAACAAAAACACTTCCAGTGTTTTTCCTGATGATTGAAAACATTCAGATACAAACCAAATACATTTTTATTATGAAGATGGCAACATCTTTTTATGGAACATAGCATTAGCAAAATTTCAGTTTAAAATATAAGCAAACCCTGTAAATCACATTATATTCTTTGAAATACTGTTTGAGAATTGAATAACATTTGAGTTTCATCTAGTTCAGACTATAAAATAAGAACCAAAAGTAACATTCTGATTTTTAAGAATGGAAACTGATACTCACTTCTTCAGCCATTTGCAAGAGAGCCTTGTTGTTGTTTTCCCACTTTGTACGCCACACTACTATTTCTTTTTCCAGTTTTTTTATTTTTTTGGTCATCTGAAATAAATTAATTACACTGATTTTTAATAAATTGCTGGAAATGAACATTTTAATCTACTGTTTCTCACTGCCCAGTCTTGTGAGATTAATTCTCTCTTTTATTTTAAAAAGATTAGTTGGATTTCTTTCACAAGATTCAAAACAAAATACAAAATCATTTTACAAATAAAAATAAATGGTCTGAGGACCCAGATAATTTCAAGCAAATGTTAAGATAATTGTGTGATAAAATTGGCAAATTATCACAAATAAAATTAGATTGAGAAAATTAATCAAACATTGTGATAATTGGGTGAATGATTGCAAGTTGCACATAAATGGCAAAAACCAGAGCAAGTAGATGAATTTGTATGCTTTGATATTTTTTTTTACTAAAAATGGGAAAGAAAATAAGATGTACTGTACAATTTAGATAGAAAGGTGGTGAGTAGAATGTTGTCTGTTACAAGATATTAATATTTATCAAAATAATTAAAAATAGCTGTGATTACTCCACCGGACGCTTCCCTAGATATCTCTCCAGATGTCAGTTTGGAGGAAGATGAAGCAGTTCTAGCACATCTGGAGGGGAGTTGGTTAATGACTCTAAGCAGCCATTTGACAGAGATTTGGGTCAAGCACAGCTGCAGCAGGACAGCCTGAGGCTTCAGGTGGAGAAAACATGCAACTGCAGCAGGTCAGTGATGAGGAAGAGGAACTGCCTTCTGCACTGATCCAAGAACACATAGGGCAGAAAAAGGCAGAAGTAGAGGAGGACAGCCATATTACTCATGAGGAGAGAGCCTTGCCCTTTTTGATGGGCTGAACTAGAAGCTGGCTATTTAGCACAGTCGACAGATGGAAGTGATGCTGGGAACATGCTCATTTCCTAGCTGTGTGTTTTCTGCTCGTTGAGAGTCTTGCCTTGCTTTGGACTGACACCATGACTTGAATTGTGCCTTGTAGACCCTCTTGTATTGTGTATTAATTTTGCCTTGTGGGTTTACTTTGAGATTGGAAAACTTTCAAGTGCCTTGTGGACTCAGTGGCCACTGCTCTGTGGACTAGCATTGGCCTGTTTTTGGCTGGACTTAATTGGGACAGTTCTGGGTTTTGGGGGGAGGGAGTTGCGGGGGAATATTAATCAACTCACTAAACTACCGTANCGTGGGCTGGCACTTTTTTTTTTATGTCGGACAAGCGGCAGGGCTTTTGGGCTTTTTATGTTGCACATAGCGCCGGCGGCAGGGTGGCTTTTGCCTCTTGAAAGCGTCCCGCCTCTATGGCAGACATAGCGCCGGGGCGGACATAGTGCCGGGGCGGCAGGGCGGCTTTTGCCTCTTGAAAACGTCACGCCTCTGTAGCAGACATAGCGCCGGGGCGGCAGAGGCAAAAGCCGCCCTGCCACCCCGGCGCTATGTCGGACATAGCGCCGGGGCAGCGGGGCGGCTTTTGCCTCTTGAAAGCTCTTAAAAGCTCTGCTGTGGGGAAAAGAAAGTGCTTTAATCAGTGGGGTGCCATGGGAGAGGAGAGAATGCTCAGGCATTCTCTCCTCTCCTCCGGCATCCCACTGACTAAAGTGCTTCCTTTCGCCCGCCTGAGCTCTGCTGCGGGCGAAAGAAAGCATTTTAATCAGTGTGGTGCCGGGAGAGAGGAGAGAATGCTCAGGCATTCTTTCTTCTCCCCCGGCATCCCACTGACTAAAGCGCTTCCTTTCGCTCGCCTGAGCTCTGCTGTGGGCGAAAGAAAGCACTTTAATCAGTGGGGTGCTGGGGGAGAGGACTGCCTCACCAGCCATAAACTTCACCGCACGTCACTGACATACACCAATAACATACATCAACCCAATTCACCACATAGGGTTGTTGTATGAAAAATAGGAAAAGGAAGATGTGTTGGATATGTTCACAGCCTTGGGTTGTTTGCCCTTATTAACTACTAAAGTCATTAAGACTGGTAAAAGTATTTTCCAACATTGTGTGTGTGTGTGACTTTCAAAATGAATAATGTATTTGACTACCATTTATGATATAATTTAAGAAACTAACACAAAGTTATATCTAAGACTATTGGTTCTCACTCTTTGGAAGTGTAAGATGTTTCTAAAAACCATCTTAGTGTTTTGTGAATATACACACATTCCTGAATAGGAAGGAAAAGCTATGACACTGGTGCAGATAAAGATGTAACTATATTTAAACCTCCACGCCTTATGAACATTGTTAGTCAGTGTTTTTAAAATGCATCTTGTCATCAAAGAGTTTTATATTATTTTAAATTACTAAATGATCAGGAGTATATTTCTAACTCTAAATTGATGGTTGATGCAATTGAAACAATTATATACTGTGCTAGAAAAAATATTCAATATCATTTTAAATTTATTAAATTTATGTGTTAAATTATGTAGATTAATAGTATAAATTGTTGAATTTCAAGCTTTAAATTGTTTCCTCCTATTAATTTTTTAACAATGAAAACTGCAATTATATGGCAGGAACAGAAGACTTGTTGGTTTTCAATTTTAATCATACCTGATTATTAAGCATTTTATATGAGCTTGGTTGAATTGCAGCCTAGGTTCTAGAGAACCACAGTATCTACCTACTACTCTATCCTTACCCTTTTTATGGATATTTAAGTATGCACGCTTTTGAGTTTTTTAAAATTATATTGCCATAAAACTAGCCATGTTTACTAGAGTGTGCCAAAAGTTAATAATTTTCATAGCACTTGTATTCGATAAATTATTTTTTTCAAAGTGAGCTTACGTAATCAAGCAGGTAAGTACGTAACAGAGAATTTTAGTTACAATCAGATCAACTTAGAACTATCTCCTTTCTTCATAAGCCATAAGAATGATGCAGATCTTACAAAACCAGAAGAACATGAGCACTCTTACATTTCTTTTAAACAAACTGGCTATAATTGCTTGCTTTTTTCTTGTTTTCTCTTAACAATAACTATGAACTTAATTTATGAGATAAGACATTACATGGAAAGCAAGATAGTTCAAGCTGTGATTTGTCATAATTGTGATGATTATGGGGTACAGTTCATGAAAACCCCA